CATAAACAAAAATTCATATGACTTAAAAGACAAATGGATGTTTTCTAATTATTGGGTCTGTTTAGAGCTGGCTTAAAACCTCAACTTTTTTGGTTTTAGAGGAAAAGAAGCCAAGTCCATTTGGACATAAGCTTATTGGGCACTTTTCCGTCAGCTTTTTGGGTAAAAATAACTTTCATTAGCACTAGGAAAAAGCTAAAAAATGGAGCTTATCCAAGAGCTTCTAAGGAAGCCGGTTTTTCCGGAAACACTCCAAACAGTTCGAATAGCTTTTTTAACTTTAACTTTAACTTTTCATTTTACTTTTCAAATCTTTATTTTGCACCTAAAAAAGCCACTTCAAACGGACATATTATCCATTTATCACATATCTAAAGAGTTTAAATGAGTTGATTACTCTATAATTTTAGCAACAAATATATTTAAATAAACATATAGTTAAATGTACATTCTTATTACTTTAATTAATTTTGTTCACTGTGTAGATGTACCATAGTGAGACGGTAGGTAATTTTTTTAAAATAAAAAATTATTAATGTTGGTTATTATTGTTAAAAAATCTCTAAAAATTCTAGCTATCAAGTCATTACATAACAATAATAATATAAAATAGTTATTTATAGACGTATTTCGGCCGTACCCATATCCTATTTTTTGGGGTATCTGTATCGTATCATTCCCTTATCTTGTATCCGTATCCGTGCTTCCTAGCCTATGGGACACTATTCGTTATTGTCATTTTTATATTGATACTTTGTTCTTATTACATGGTTAATTATGTAAATCTTCCCTTAGGGTAGCACCACATCTGCCAATCAGAAAGGTAAAAGTGACCTTGTGGGTTGTGTCTTAGTTGTGTGTTTGATTAGCTGAGTGCACCATTGTTTCATTATAACTAAGCATGAATGTGATAACTAACTCTAGTTGAAGTCCTTTAGACTCATATGCTATGAAAGCCTTGACCTTGTAAATGTGCAGGGTTTGAGACTGGAGCAGGCGGAGAGATAGAGCAGCTTTCAAGAGGAGCGTGGGAGTAGTTTTTCTTTTGCTTTTCCTTTTCCTTCTGTTCCCTTCATGTGATCATAGTAATAGCCAATAATCTGAATGTAGTTTTGTTTTTCTTTTTTGGTTAAATTGATGGATTATCAATTTAGGAATAGAGGTGAAAATTGACTTTAGGTTAGTAAGAATCGAGTGCAATGTAGCGTATGTGCAAACCTGTTCGTCTGTTTGTCATTTGGTTTACTTAGGTGTTTCTTTTAGTTGTCATTGTATATCTGATCATGGTTTCATTGTAAACTAGAACATATCCTCTCAATGAAACTTGAATCACCGGGGAATAGGATCTAATTCATGCTACTCTCTGTTACTTTTGACCTTTTAAATTAGTCATCGGTACTTTAAAAAGGAGTTAATTCCTGGAATCTTATTGTTGTTTTCAGACTAAGTATTGTAATACATAATTGACTGGTATAGTTTTCTTAGACTTTGGTACATGATTCAGTTCTTTCACTCTTTCATATCTCCCAAACTTTTTTTTTGGTCGGCATCCCAAACTTATTTAATGACTGAATTATGACAACTACAGACATATGTGCTCATTATAAACTTTCAGTGATGTGAATTATGTTTCGACTATCACCAACTTTTTACTTCCACAGCTTGTAATTATGCCAAGGGTAGATGGGTTGCAGATCAAAGGCGGCCCTTGTATTCCGGGTTGGGATGTAAGCAGTGGTTATCGGACATGTGGGCGTGCAGACTTACCCAACGCACTGATTTTTCTTATGAGGGATATCGTTGGCATCCGGAAAACTGTGAGATGCCAGAGTTTGAAGGTTCAGAATTCTTGAGAAGGTCTTGCCCCTTTTATCCCCTGAAGATTTTTTACATTTCAAATATCCAAGCCTTGCTGTTACATTATATGTTTGCAAATCATGACAAGGTCCCAGAACTATCAGGAAAGTCTAATAAAGTATTAAATTTTCTTCTAACTCACATACCGAAGTTTCATCCCATATTTTCCCCACTCTAATAATCATCTTAGTTTTTTCATCTTATTTATGATTTATTGAAACCAATCGCTAATGCATATTTATTTCGATCCCTGAATTCATGTATTTGAAATTTGTCCATATGATTCTGAAAAAACTATCTCAAATCTCATTGCCCTAAATGCGACTATGTTCCAGAATGCAGGACAAAACTATTGCTTTCATAGGTGATTCATTAGGCAGGCAGCAATTTCAATCTCTCATGTGTATGGTCACTGGTGGTGAGGAGAAACCAGAAGTTGAAAATGTGGGCCGGAAGTATGGTCTTGTCAAAGCTCGTGGAGCCATTCGTCCTGATGGATGGGCATATCGGTTTCCACATACCAACACAACCTTCTTATATTACTGGTCAGCAAGTCTTTGTAACATAGAACCTATAAACATGACAGACCCAGCTACAGAATTTGCCATGCATTTGGACAGCCCACCTGCTTTTCTTAACCGATTTCTCAATCAGTTTGATGTTTTGGTACTTAATACTGGACACCATTGGAACAGAGGGAAGCTCAGAGCTAACCGGTGGGTGATGTATGCAAATGGAAATCCGGTTGAAGATAAGAAGCTTGCAGAAATAGGGAATGCCAAAAATTTAACAGTTCATAGTATTGTTAGGTGGCTTGATTTACAACGTTCCATGCATCCACGCCTAAAAGCTTTCTTCCGAACAATTTCTCCAAGACATTTTTTTAATGGGGATTGGAACACAGGAGGTAGCTGTAATAATACCACTCCATTGGCTGGAGGGAGTGAAGTTTGGCAAGATGAATCAAGTGATCCTGTTGTTGAGGGAGCTGTTAAGGGTACTGGGGTTAAGATTTTGGACATAACTGCTATTTCTCAACTGAGGGATGAGGGTCACATATCTCGCTACAGTATAAAAGCATCAGATGGGATACAGGATTGCTTGCATTGGTGCCTACCCGGCATTCCTGATATGTGGAATGAACTCCTTTATGCACAATTATAGGGTATCTCATGTCGTTGAAGAAGGCTTTAAGTGAAAGCGCAAGGACTATCATGCCATTATTTATGTTCGAAATTGGCCTACTGCTGTTTTTGATATATTCTTTATGTAGTAGATTTTCTTTTGAATGATAAATAGAAGCAGCAGCCGATATTTCCATTTCTTACAATTACGACCAGATGGGAACGAGATAGTGGTTAAAGCTGCACATTAGCTTGATGAGGTTGTTGCTGGAAGTGTTGGGGTTTGGCAGAGGTTCTGCTCTGCTTTCATGGCTGTTGTATGTAGGATCACATCCCCATTAATAGACACAATATTTTCTATCTTTAATTAGAGTAGTTTGGTCATTTAATAGATAATATAATTTTATATAAATTATGATTTTTTAAAGAAAAAAATTAAATTTTATTTTTGGTTTTATATTAATAAATGATATAATAAAACATGAATTTTGGTTATAAAATTTAAAATATTTTATATTTTATATTTGATTGAATTATTTTTTGTCTAAAAATAACATTTTAAACTTGAGGGGTCTAAATATTGCACACATATGAACTTTAGGGGGTCTGATCGTAATTTATTAACGGATATTCTAATGGACATTGACAGTTATGCACGTACAAATTTTAGGGGTCTGTGTAATATTTAAATATCAAAAAGTCTAAATGAATAAATGATAAATTTAAGGGGTCTAAGTGTTATTTTTCTTAAACTATACCACTTAAAAAAATTGGAACCTTATTTTTACTTTCCAAAAAAATTGGGGCCATGTTTTTTCACGGGCCTAAAGCCACTTTTTTGATGTCATTAGACTCCGACTGGCAATGAATTATTATCTTTGAATAGAAATATGACAACTTAAAGACATTAGCATATTTTATCTATGATTCTTGAATTAATGAAGACCAGTGTCATTCAAACTAATCCTTTCAACTTAAAATGCACTCCCTTTGGTTTGAATATGTCATTTATGAGTGAATGAAGTTAACCATAGATCAATTTCTTAACCAAATGAAAAATAACTAAAACAATATATGAATGTAGATAATAGAATCTCTCCATTTTTGTCTCACTCAATGGCATTGTCCATTGTTGAACCTAATTGCCTCTTTCTCTAAATAAATCAACTTACAACTGAAATCAGATCTAAGAAAATTATATTAGTTTTCATGTTATCCAACACATGGGTGAAAAAAGTGCTAATTTTGTATTGGAAATCATAAGAAACCATTTTGTTTTGGTCATGGAACATTTGATAACACATAGAATTCCAAAAATTGAGAAAAAATAAAAATATTTTTATTAATTCAATATGGGTTGTATTAAATTACCCCTAATTATTATTATTTGAACAAAATTACCCCTTTGTTTAATGCTACCACCCAAGCACCAATTTTACAACACTCATATTGGGGCCCTGATGATACACAAAACAGTTTATGTACAATCAAATCAAACGAATGTATGATGTAAGGTAATTAACGAAGCAATAAATAGTAAAAGACAAAGGTTGGGTAGTTGGGCCTAGGTGACGTAACCACTGAAGGCGATAACGGTGGCCATAAAACTTAATTAATGAAAGAATAAAGTAGTAGGTGAGGAAGATAGATAGCAAGAATGAGTTCAAGGTGAGATGTGTGAGAGATATCTCCCCCATGTCTAGAGGGCTTATAATTTATAGACATAAAACCCTAGTTGAGGCGGTGACATAAGGGTCAAACTACTATTCTTTCGGGAAGGATATGTACAATTAAGGATAACTACAAATTAAGGATATGTGCTATCTTTGAGTAGTGGCTATCACAATGATTGCTCCCCCACGTGCGTTAACATCTCCGGTCTCTTAAACTTTTGGACTAGGCTAAGGTCATGAGCTGAGCTTGACCTATCGTTTCGGCTAATTGGGCTTAACCCACGAATTGGGCCTGAGCTATATGGATCTAGGCTCATCATTTGCCCCCCATGCTCCAAGCTCTTGCGATGACAAGAGGTTGAGGGCATGAATGAGCCTTTCATTTAGGCAGACCAGGTATCTTGTTTTCCATGGTAGTTTCTTCGGCTTCCCATCACTATGTTCTACGAAACTTCTTTCCTTTTTTGGTAATGCAACGCCCAAAATACACCCTGGATGACATTACATTCTAAAACCATTCATATCATGAGAGCACTAATATAATCCCTTAAGAAACAAGACTTCATTTGTCATCCACGAATATTTACAACATTATCCAAAAGAATAAGTCCAAGTCATGGCTATTACATCTTAAAAATTAATTAAGAAAGCGCAGCGGAATAAACAAAAGAAGCTAGATTACACAATGTTCCAAAAGAATGTCCTAGTCTAGTACAAAAGGAAAGGAGGTCGCTCTATGCGTCCACCTCAGGATCCACACTCCCGTCCCGTGGAGTCTCCCAAGTAGCGGGCTCCTCCACCCTTGCGTCCTCCTCCTCAAGCGGGTAATCTGAAAAATGTTAGCGATAGAGGGTGAGCACGAAGTTCTGTAAAAAAATTCTCCAAAACTCATAAAAGGTTTAGAAAAGCATTTAAAATGATCGATCTCAATTTTAACATAACAAAGATACATAATTTGAAATAAAGCAGTGACATTTAAAAATAATCTCAAGTTTATTTAAAAACATTACTTAAATGAATAAATGAGCACCACATACAAATAATAACCATTAATTGTCATAACCAATTCCCAACAATTCTTTCGGTAGGTGGCATACTTTGTGGTAACCTCCACCCCCTTTTAGGTCACCTTTGATTCTCAAGCATCCTTACCGAGAACCTCTTGGGAAGGGGTGAACATCCTTACAAGGAACCTCTCACTCATATGCATCATAAGTAATCCAACCAAGCATACAATTCCAACATTTATCTCAATTTACAATCATCTATCCAAAATTCTCAAAATATATCATATAACAATTTCACAACTAACTAAGAAAATACATGAGATCACAATAACATCATTTTTCTACCCAACACAAAGCACTAAGGTTTCAAAATCCATAATAAAGAAAGCATTTAGGAAGAAAATATATCACTCTCCAAAAATTAGGGTTTTAAAACTAGAAAGGAGATTTCATGGGTATTAAACCTTACTTTGTTCAAAACATGTAATCCTTGCAAAAAGCCTAAGAGAGGATGATTCCATAGTATATATATATCATTGATAGCCAAAAAATACATATATAAATACCCTAGCCTCAATGTAAGTGAATGAGAGAAAACTCCTACCTTGAATCATTAGCTTTGGAGTGAAGAACAAGAATATTTGATCTTGAATCACTCTTGAATCTCTTGTTTTTTCCTTCCTTTCTTCTTCTCTAATGCCTTCTAGGGTTTCAAGAGGTGTGGGGGTGTGAGGGGAGTGAAGGAAATGAGAGCAAATGAGATGAAAATGAGTTTAAAACATAGCAGCCCCGAAAAATACTGTTCACAGGTTGTTTTGAGTTTTTTCAAATTTACGATTTTACCACTAAGAATCTCAAATTTGATCCATATGACTACCCTAAGGTTTTTCGACGTTCCGGATTCATTTTTAATGTTATTTTAACCTAAAAACATTTATTTTTATGATTTATCTCAACACCCAAGTCAACGTACACCCGAAACACTAAAATTTATATTTTACCCATCAGAATCGGCTATTAATGAAGTTTTGCGATGTTTACAAATAAAATGTGATAAAGGGTGTTTCTTAAAGCCTTTTATACTTATTTGAAGCCTAAAATTACTCATTATTCTTATATTTTGATTTAGGATGCAAATGGAGACATTAAATGCAAAACGAAGCTAATTGGACTATTTCGACATCATTTCGTTATCTGAGCATAAATCTCTAATCCAAGCTCCGATTGAGATGATTCAAGATGCTATGGAATGATACGAAAGAGCTCTAAAATTTTTATGTTTTGAGTTTTAAGAGATATTGACTGCATCAAGGTCTAAATCGAGCTTGAAGTTGCAGTAGTGCACTGTTCACGTGCACTGTTCATAGCCTGTCTTCGTCCCTTTTCCATTTCCAATCCATTCCTAAGCCAACCAAATCTATCCCAAACCTCTCCAACACATATTCCTACACCAAACCTATTTAATACAAGTTCTAGGACCTAAAATTTCATATTTTCACTTATTAAAACCAAATTTCAACTATTATTTTCACTAACATTTTAAATCTCTACTTTTCTAATCTACCAAATTCAAACTCACATCACTACATATATCCAAATTTTTTTATCACAATTATTTACTATATATCTATATACATATATAAAAGAAAATGTGGGGTGTTACAGGTAACAGTGTGGTTGAATAACTATTATTGTGGCACCCAATCCCATCTGTTGGGTCTTCCATGAGGTCTAAAGATACTTTATCCTATTCACAACAAAAGCCCTCTTTTCCATTTAAGTCACCTCCATTTCATGTCCTTCACTCGAAGCTTTCCTTCAAGACGAGAGCTTAAAATTTTCCATCCCTTAAGCAATTGAGAGATCGAAGGGCAATATCATGGAGGCCCATGGGAGGACATCGAAGAGGAGCTCCATGGGTGGCTCCATGAGGAAGAGCACAACTGGGCTTTAAGCGAAACCAGACAAATACGAAGGCCACGCCTTGGCGATGCCACAGGCGATTTCAAGCGAAGTCGTGGGTGATGCCAAGTGGTGCTAGAGGTGAGGTAGAGGCGGACGCTAGTGGGCTAGGCAACATGGAAGGCCCTAGTGGAGGTGGAGACGCCCTAGACAACGTTAGTGAAGGCGCAGGAGGTGACGTAGGCGCAGGAGGTGACGTAGGCACTGGAGGAGAGGACCCAAGTGGCATCGGCAGGTAGAAACATCGTCGGAGGATGACTGCACGGCGGCGCCCCAAGCACTCAAGACGTTGGTGCTGGTGACGCCTTAGCTGGAGGCGTTGGCGATGCCCCGAGCACTGGCGCAGGAGACGTTAGTAATGCCCTGGCTGCTAGCGTAGGAAGCACAGACAATGCATTGGTTGTGGGCACAAGTGTGTGTATAGTGCTAGGTGATGGCTATGCGGAGCTAAGCTTTTGGTGCGCAGCTGTCAAGCGTTTGTGGGGAATAGTAGGTAAACGTGCTGGGTTTTGCTAGAAAGGGAGACTATGACGCTTTTCAGCTAGGGAGGAGGCAAACCTTCTTACTTCCTTTATTCTTTCTTTGTTTTGACGTTTTCTTGACATTGACTCTAATTTTTGGTAGGCACCCACTCTCACAAAGGCAAGAAGAGGAATACTATATCAGATTCACAGCAAAGCAAGGGAACTGCAAATAGTGGCAGTTCGAAGGTAACTTTTATCTTCAGTTTTATAGCTTGTGACGATGACATTGCCCTCATTGTATCTTTGTTCCATATCCCTCCTTTTGTTATGTGCCATTGGGCCGAGAAGGACGAGCGACGTGTTATAATTCCTCAGTAGAGATAATTTTCTATGAGGATATCGTGGAGGTAGGATTGAGGTGTAAAATTTGGGTAAAATAGAATTTTTTTATGAAAAAGGATAAAACGGTAATTTGTCACTACAGTACGAGTTGAAAACCCAAATTTTTTTATCACAATTATTTACTATATATCTATATACATATATAAAAGAAAATGCGGGGTGTTACAGGTAACAGTGTGGTTGGATAACTATTATTGTGGCACCCAATCCCATATGCTGGGACTTCCATGAGGTCTAAAGATACTTTATCCTATTCACAACAAAAGCCCTCTTTTCCATTTAAGTCACCTCCATTTCATGTCCCTCACTCGAAGCTTTCCTTCAAGACAAGAGCTTAAAATCGTCCATCCCTTAAGCAATTGAGAGATTGAAGGGCAATATCATGGAGGCCCGTGGGAGGACATCGAAGAGGGGCTCCATGGGTGGCTCCATGAGGAAGAGCACAATTGGGCTTTAAGCGAAACCAGGCAAATACGAAGGCCACGCCTTGGCGATGCCACAGGCGATTTCAAGTGAAGTTGTGGGTGATGCCAAGCGGTGCTAAAGGTGAGGTAGAGGCGGACGTCAGTGGGCTAGGCAACATAGAAGGCCTTAGTGGAGGTGGAGACGCCCTAGACAACATTAGTGATGGCGCAGGAGGTGACGTAGGCACTGGAGGAGAGGACCCAAATGGCATCGGCAGGTAGAAACATCGTCGGAGGAGGACTGCGCGGCGGCGCCCCAAGCACTCAAGACGTTGGTGCTGGTGACGCCTTAGCTGGAGGCGTTGGCGATGCCCCGAGCACTAGCGCAGGAGACGTTAGTAACGCCCTGGCTGCTAGTGTAGGAGGCACAGACAATGCATTGGTTGTGGGCACAAGTGTGTGTATAGTGCTAGGTGATGGCTATGCGGAGCTAAGCTTTTGGCGCGCATCTGTCAAGCGTTCGTGGGGAATAGTAGGTAAACGTGCTGGGTTTTGCCAGAAAGGGAGACTATGACGTTTTTCAGCTAGGGAGGAGACAAACCTTCTTACTTCCTTTATTCTTTCTTTGTTTTGACGTTTTCTTGACATTGACTCTAATTTTTGGTAGGCACCCACTCTCACAAAGGCATAAAGAGGAATACTATACCAGATTCACAGCAAGGCAAGGGAACTACAAATAGTGGCAATTCGAAGGTAACTTTTATCTTCAGTTTCATAGCTTGTGACGATGACATTGCCCTCATTGTATCTTTGTTCCATATCCCTCCTTTTGTTATGTGCCATTGGGCTGAGAAGGATGAGCGACGTGTTATAATTCCTCAGGAGAGTTAATTTTCTATGAGGATATCGTGGAGGTAGGATTGAGGTGTAAAATTTGGGTAAAATAGAATTTTTTATGAAAAAGGATAAAACGGTAATTTGTCACTACAGTACGAGTTGAAAATCTAAAATTTTCTAAAACTCAGATGACGAAACGGACCTCACCGTTGGATTCTTCTCACGAAATTTAATTATCTAGTCAATTTTCATCGAATTCTGAGACAGTCAAATTTTTTGTGTTTTACGAAGCGATCAAGTATCGGGTGACCTCATAAACGAACTCAGGAATAAAAATTTCAAAAATTAGATAATAATTTAAAGCAATTTGAAATAAACATATTTTGAACTTGAACCAAGATAAAATTTAATCGATTCGGGTCAAAATTGGACCTGAGAAAGGAGAACATGTAGCGAAATGTAGACCAAGCAATTAAAGGCTATAACCCCCCATTTTCAACTGGGTCTTCACGTTGCAGAGGGAAGAGAGAGAAAAAGAGAGATTTTAAATTTCTCTTTATGATCTACACTGTCTCATCGATCGAATCAACACGAGCCAAGAGCAAAAGTCAATTTCCTCGTTGTGGACTACGCGACCATACCAAAAAGGATGGATTTCGTCGAAGTTTCAAATACAAAATTTTGGGGAAAGCTTGGATTAGAGCATGTTTCGGGTTCTTGAAGTTTCTTATGGTTATTATACCCTTCAAGAGGTAGGGTTTTCTCTCCAATTAAGTTTATTTCCAACCTAGAGTTGGGATATGGAATGGGTAGATTGTTAGAGATGTATAACACTTGATTATTGTTGTAAATTAATGAAATGGGTATTAGAAATAGGTGGAATAAATTATATCTTGAATTGGGTATGTAGAAATTACTTAATGTAATTTCTCGAGTTATGTGATGAAATTGAGCATTTTATGTGATTACATAATTTGATTATTTGAAGGTGTTTGATTTAATACCTATGTGAAATTAAGTGTGTTTTGCATAGATTATGTATAACATGCTTGAAAAATTGTTGTTTATATGTTATATGATATATTGAAATTATGAGGATTTATGAAAATTATATGCTTATGATATAATTAACCATAGTATATGTTGAAATGTGGTTGAGATAGTTCATATGACACTCATACATATTGGACATGATATAGTATTACAATCGTACATTACATTGCATATGCACAAAGACATTGCATTCATGGGCATTAGACATGAATGTGAGTGTGTGTGCATGGTTGTCATCAAACACCACACTTGATGGATAATGTGTGGGCTCGAGAAAGTTGAATCGAAGATTCGATTGAGTTGCACAATTTGCATTGAAAAGTGGGTCGGGATTAACGAAAAGGGCTAGACTATCCCTTGGGTGCATGACCCAGTTACTTAGGATACGCACTCCCTCGGTTTAGTCCATAAAGTGTGTCGATGTACGCGGAACTGTTGGTGAAAGTCCATAAATTCCGTATCGGTTGGGTGCTCGTTGATGTAAGTTCATAAATACCCACCCCAAGAAAGACCCAGAGATTTTAAATGGACATTGGATGTGTAACATCAATGACAGGGGCATAGAATCTCCAAATTTGCGCTCATGGCATTTGTATGTGTTAAGAGAGCCGGTGAGAGCTTCGGTTGATGTGCATGAGTGAGTCTCATCTTATATCATGACAAGAAATTGTGAATTCCAACATTGAGTTGCATATTCTTGATTGGAATGCCTTGTGACTTGTTGAAATTACATGTGACATTTTCATATGTATCTAGATTGGGGAATAGCCTCTTTAGGAGATACCCTATTTAGCGTGACTCACCTTTTATGGGAAAATATTCTAGGTGCGGATTATACACCGGTGGAAGGCTCTCATTGGGGCCTCAAGGATGAAGGAAAGCCGATTTGTGGCTTTTAAACCTTATTTTGTAAAATTTTGATGTAATTCAATTTTAGGCATGTAATTATATGAAAAGAATTGTAACGTGAACTCATATGAATTGTATTTTGTTTAAAATTGATGTTATGTGAGTTTTGTATGAGGTTGTGTAAGTTTGGAATAGATTGGAATTGAAAAGGGAAGGAATCGTAGAAAAATTGGTAAAACCTATCTGTAGAATGTTGAGTACTTCTACCGGTAGAAATTTTTCAATGGGCAAAACTTACCGGTAGAACTTACGATAGAACTTTTTCAGTAGGCAAATCTACCAGTAGAACTATGACAAACCTACCGGTAGGTTTTCCAAAAATCTCAATTTTTAAGAGTATTTTTCCATGCTTTCAGGCTTTGTACCCTTTTATTCAAATGATGTAAATGAGCAAATTGTGGAATATTGGACCTTAGATGGATCATGTGGTTAAATAGTATACAGGTTGTGCGTTTAGGATACTAAGTTAGTGCTCTATTGCTATTTGACATGTGTGCAGATGACAAATAGAATAAGAGAACGCAGCCAAGGAGGTGGGCAGAGCAACAACCAATCACCATAAGCCTTTGACCAATAAGCCTTTGTGGAGGCTACTGGCACAATGGCGGCTACATTCAAGCAAGCTAGGGCCAATGTGGGCTAGGGAAGCACAAATAACCTCCAAAAGCTCAAAGTACACAATCCATCGACTTTTATAGAAGGAGTGGATCCAATGGTGGCGGACAATTGATTCTAGCAAGTGAAGAAGATCCTAGAGGTTATCGAAATCACCTCTGATGCCACTAAAATAAGGCTAACTGCATTTTAGCTAGAAGGAGAAGCCCATCTGTGGTGGGATTGAACAAAGGCCTCGAAGAACTTAAAGGCAATGACATGAGGAGAGTTTTGGGAGCTCTTCAAGGGCAAGTACTTTCCATCAGCTGTTCGACACGCAAAAGCCCAAGACTTCTTAGATTTGAAGCAGGGAACTATGACGGTGATAGAATACGTGGCTAAGTTCATTGAATTAGCCTATTTTGCTGATGATTACGTGGCCACGGACATGGCCAAAGTAAGGAGGTTTGATGATGGTTTGAAATTATCCATCCAAGGGAAAATTGTGGCCCACCGTCTACAAGATTTGAACTTGATGGTTGAGACAACTATGACCATTAAGAGAGAGGTAGATGATGCACGGAGCATCCGAAAGTTAGGTGCTAAGGACAAGAAGAAGGAGGACCAATTATCTTCTTCAAGTTTAGAGAAGAAGTAGAGGACTTCTACCCCCGCAAGGATAGTAGGGACAGGGTCGTAGTTATCAAGGCCAAGTCCAAGGTTGATCCTCCCAATGCGGGGGAAACTTCAAGACTTCTAACTAGGCAGATTAGAGGACTTGTTACATATGCCACTAGCCGGGTCACATGAAACAGGATTGTCCTCAGAGGCAAGGATCCTAAGGCCATGAGGCGTTTTAGTCTCAGTCATCAGTGGGGCATCCACAGACTTACTTTATTCTTCCATACCCCACCATGGCCCAGGAAAGCCAGTTTCAGTTCCAGGATACTGCACAAGGCCCTACTACTTCACGTGCGGGGACTTCACAATTAGGTCAAATGGGCATGGGCCAAGGTCGAGGCCGAGGCCGAGGACAAGGCTCACAGGCTAGGACTTCAGGGACCCAAGGGCGAATCTTACATCATGTGTGAGGAATTTTGGCTTAGAGGTTAAAACCTTAGAAAAACCATTGCAAGTGAGTTTTTTCCTAGGAGTTAGGGTAAATGTTGATTAGATATGTCGAGGTTGTGAGTTAGAAATTTCAGGGATTCTACTAACTGTAGACCTTAGGATCATGAATATGTCAGAGTTTGATGTCATCCTCGAGATGAATTGGTTGACGGCACACCGAGTTGTTATAGATTGTGATCGAAAAGGGTCACTGTCTACACACCAGAGGGTGTTTGTTTCAAGTTTCAGGGGAAAAGCACGATATTTTACCCCAAGCCATGTATGAATCTTGATGGCATGGATAGTTGATGGGTTGGCTAGCGATCCTTACCCTAGAGGACGAGGTAAGACAGGAGTTAAATCTACCTCGAGTGGTTTGTGAGTATGAGGATGTTTTTCTAGACGAACTGCCAGGATTACCTCCACATAAGGATGTAGATTTCACCGTTAAGTTGCACTGTGCTACATCGCCCATTTCTATGACACCTATAAAGTTACAAGAACTCAAAGTCTAATTGCAAGAATTAATGGACAAGGGTTTCATTAGACCGAGTACCTCACCTTGGGGCACTCCGGTGTTATTTGCCAAGAAGAAAGACAAGACCCTTTGACTATTTATAGACTATCAGCAATTGAATCGGGTTACTATCAAGAATAGATATCCTTTGCTGAGGATTGATGATTTGTTGGATCAATTGAGAGGGGCGCGAGTCTACTCCAAGATAGATCTACGCACGGATTACCATCAATTAAGGATTAGGGAAGTAAATATTCCCAAGACGACGTTTAGGATGCAGTATGGGCATTTTGAGTTCACCGTCATGCCTTTTGAATTAACAAATGCTCCAGCGGCATTTATGGATTTTCATGTATAGGATGTTCCAACTCTACCTGGATCATTTTTGTCATAGTCTTTGTTAACGACATTTTAATTTATTCTAAGTCTGAGGAGGTGTATGAGAGTCAGTTAAGGGTTGTTCTCTAGACCTTGAGAGACCATCAGTTATATGTCAAGTTCAGCAAGTGTGAATTTTGGATTACGAAAGTGAAGTTTTTGGGACACGTGGTATTGGCTACGGGTGGGTCCACTGACCCAGAGAAGTTTTGAGGCGGTTATGAGTTGAGAGAGGCCGAAGTCAGTCTTTGAGATACGCAGTTTCTTGGGATTGGCGAAGTATTATAGGAGGTTCATTGGGGACTTCTCCTAATTAGTTGCACCTATGACAAGGTTGACTCAAAAGAATGTCAAGTTTGAGTAGAATGACTCGTGTGAGAGGGCATTCCAAGAGTTGAAGGGGAGACTTACTTCAGCTCCTATCTGATAGTTTTGGAGAGGGGACAGAGGTACATAGTGTATTGTGATGCCTTTAAGGACGGACTTGAGTATG